GCCGTTCACTTATGACGTCCGATATTTACGAAGGGAAGGGGTGGGGTCTATGTAGGATTTTGTGACAGTTCCAACAATGGATTTTTTTTCTATAGAATTTTTGTGACAGAGGGGGGGGGGGGGGGGGGGGAGGGGGGTCACAAAATCAGGCTTTTTGATGGACGTCATAAGTGAAAGACTCCTAATATTATTTAAACAATAGGATTTGAAGCAATGCATTCAAGCAGTTTCACGTTCATATGTCAAATTTTGTGCCCATCCTGAAAAAGAGCAAACATCAATTTCTCAAATCACGCAACAAAAAATGGATTCAAATAAAACTTAATTTTTACTTTTCATTCAGTTTATTTTTCTTTGATTTATTTTTTCTCCTCGTTTTTTTTCTTTTCATATTTTTTCAACATCTGATATAAATTCTTCATTTTCTTTTATTTATTTATTATTTTCTTTACCTAAAATTTATACACAATTAATTATGTTTTAATAAAAAATATCTAATCTTTAGCATTAAATATATTTATAAAAAAAAATTGTTTCTCATTTTTAATCTAAATCCGTTCACTTTTCATCCATTCCACTTATATTCTCGATTCTCACTGATTAGATTAGGAGCTATACATTATTAACTAAGTTATTTAATATTATTATTGTACATTAGATAAATGAAGGTTTTTTTTGATCACGAAAAATAGATTTTTTGCGTAAGATTGGAATTGACTGGAGGATTAAATGATGACCAACAGTCAATTTCAATCTTACTCACAATTTTCTTAATTTTATTAAAAATTTAAAATATGAAAATCGTACATAATCGAATTTATAATTAAAATTTAATGTCTTGAAAAATGCCAACAAGCTTGAATTAATAAAAATTTATTAAACACTCAAGAGAATTTCGGAAAAATGAAATCAACTTTGTTATGCTTGTTTTATGAAATGAAATTATTAAATATTTCTCTTATCATTTCCAGTCTTTGTAATATTATATAAAATTTTATAATGTTCAAATTAGAATTTATGAATTTTTGATGAGATAAAATTTTTTGGTTTTTGAGAAAATGAATTAAATAATAATTTAAAATTATAATAAAATTTAAATTGAGTTTTAGGATCTTTCATGAATTACAAAGTATTGTCGAACTGTTTTTCAGGTCGTTTAGAGCGTGTAATTAATTAAAATTGAAACTTATTTGATTCATACAGAATAATTGTGTCTGCAAAATTGCAATTTTAAGTTGGAAATAATTTTCTATAGCATTTTAATTATTCACCATTGAAGGAAGAACGTAAATTATTTCACAATTATTTTCATTTATTTCGCAAATTTATAATAAAGACACAACAACGTTTATAAATTCATGGATATACACTATTTGCAGAAAGTTTTACTTCTAAAATTAAGGAAAAAGAAATTCATTGTAACTAATTCATTCCCATATCGTATAATTAATTTCAAAATTAAATTACCAAGAAGCAACTTAATTTTACAGGAAAATGGCACTTGAAGAAAAACTTAATTGCATTTAAACCCATTTTGTTGAGAGCAGATAAAGGATTCAAGTACAATGTTCATACCTTTCGAAATAGAAACACTTGAATTGAAAGTTTATCTCCAACATTTATCTGAAAAACGATTTTCTCTTCATTCTTTAAAGGACCAGAGTTGGGGGGATGGCACATGGAAAAATTCCCCATAAAGATTTGCATTAGCTATCCTCAACTACTTCTAAGCTACCCCAAAGATCCTCATTAGCTTATCACTAGCTTCTGCTCATCTAGATTTAATTAGATTGCATCACCATACTTTTAATGGTGTCGATTAAATGTCATTACTGCATTACGTAGCATGACTTAACCTTGCTCAAAACTTAAAATTAGCCTTATTCCTCAACTCTGCCCAAAAAACTCAACTAAAACAAAAAAATGCTTGACTGAAATTTTTTATACTTAAAAATGTCTATCTACATCAGTTTGAATGGTTCTTCCTATTGCTTTACAACAATAAAAGAAATGAAATTACTTCATTTTCTCATTTTGTAATCGCAAAAGCATTTTCTTCGTTCACCGCTATTTCAGTTATTTGTGATTCTCATTCAGTTGCGGAATTTCAAAATCAAGAAAACTTTTTTTTTTGGTTCGCCCACAAATTTTCAGAGGTAAAATATTTGATGATGAGCTTCTTTGTGAAATTCTATTGCAATAAAACTTTTTATTTGTTTTTAGATCTGCGTCTTTAAAATTTACTGCGGTTGAGTATAAACTGTCAACTTTATGTACCGATGGAAACTTTGGCTTAAATCATTTAATTTTCAGCAACAAGTTTCGAGTTTTTTTTTACTGATTTGCAAGTCTGGTTAAAGTTTTCATCTCTGCAGTATTTAATTTATAAGTGAAAACTTTGTCATTGGATGAAGATTAAAGATTCTGTGTATGTGGGTAGTTTAGGCCAATGTTCAAGTAGTTCTACTTGGAAATTGAGAATTTTGTGGTTCTGTAACATAAATTTAAGTCTTTAGACTTAATATTCTCTTTAAATCTTCAAGTTTCACTTCTTAACAGCCAGCAACGGTGCCACGTGTCTTAATAATGATAAACCCTAAACTTTATTCTGAAATATTCAGATCCAAAATTGTATAAAATCAATCAGTTCAAGAACCCTCATCAAATTGTTCATTTCTCGTGTACTGAACATTCCAAAAACATAAAAAGTAAATTAGGCAATGTCATTTGAGTTGAGAAATAATCCGAAAAAATTACATCCATTATTGATTGTAAAAATACATCTAGTAAAATTTTATTATCAGCTTCTTATTTTTTCGTATGAAATTTTATTTACTTTCCTTGTCATGACGAAAATGTCGTTCCATTGAAACTTTCTTTTTTTCATCTCTTGAAATGATTCAAATAATCCTTGAAGATTTCGTTTCCATCGTAAGCAGCATAAGCTGTTGTTTTCTTTACTATGATAAGAATATGGAGAGTTCATTGAATCAGTTTAAGATGATGCATGAGATATTCAATATGTTACAATCTTGTTTTTTTTTTGATAAAGTTGTAGTTGTTAATAAATTATGAGCACCATTTGTTGTGAATATTTTTTAAAAACTACAGAATATCCTTTTTACAAGAATAAGTTATTGTTTTCCACAATTGAATTTATATCCTTTTTTTGATGTTTTAAAAATAGCTCCGATGCGGGATAAAAGTTTCATGAACTCATTTGAAAGAAAAGTTTTTAAGGTGGATCGTCTTCACTTCAGAGGGGTACTCAGGGGGGTTCTGATTATGAGAAAATATTTTTAAAAAAATATTCTGAATCCATCCCTATTCTCTACTCTAACGTCAAGATAAAAGCACTAGCAATGGAGTGAATTTGCAATTTTCCCTTCTTTACAGTTTTTGAATGTAAATTGATCTGATATCATAGTTCGCATAAATCCTTCAACAAATTTTCGATTTTGTCATAGTAAAACTTTTATTTTATTGCAATGTTTGCAATTTCTACCCAAAGCTACCCCCATAAAAATTTGTATCTTGAATTTAATATCCGAAAACACTTGATGCCACGAGCTATAAAAATATTTTTTCATTTGAAACTTGATCTTAGTGTTTATTTGAGAGTGAATTCGATTTTATTTGCATTTTGACTCGATGGGTGGGTCAGTGTTTTGGTGGCAAAAATTTGAAAATCTAACTAGAATTGAATGAATACATCCTTAATGGCAATTGATTTAAAAACTTAACATTCTTAATTTCTTAATTTTGAAATTGAACCTCAAAATGTGCAAACTGATCAAATTAACGATTTAAAAATATCTCTTCAATGTTTAACCCCCCACCCCCTCCCCAGTCAGCCCAACATACCCAGTTTTGACGTCATAATATTACAAAATAAATTCTTCCTTATTTCAAAATAAACTCAAAATAAAAATTCTTCAAGTTTATGGTTTTTAAATAAACTCTCTCGTTGTGCCTTAAAATAAACTTCGTAAGTAATTAAAAAGTCTTAAATTCAAATGAAAAATTCTTTTAGAAGCTACGCAGTAATGATGATAAACTAAAATTGGAAGCTCAAAATTGTTCTCATTTTTTCCCCCGTCAATATAATTACTTATTCTTTTCTCTCTTTGGTATTATCTTAACAGAATTTCATTAAGACTTTTTTTTTCTTTCCAAGAATGTCAGAATTTTTTTTCGTGGAAAAAGTGGTTTTTGCGTTTTTAGATTTTTTCATTCTTTTCTTTTAAATTATTCTAAAAATATCTTTAAAAATAGGACAAGATTGACAATTGATAAATCGAGCGACTTTCAATTCGTACCCAAAAAAAGGGTTTTTTTAAATTCTCACGAGAGCACCTCACACCCACAGCAAGTTTGATTCTTTCGAGGATTTCTATTTCTAGGAAGGATTTCCCAAATGGTTTTATCAGGTTTAATGTGGATGAAAAAAGGAAAGAAAATTTCCTAAAAATCTAGATGTAAGTAGGAGTGCTGAATTGTCAGTAAAATATCTGTCGGGAATGATTTATTTCAAAACTTTTGATGTCATTGCAATTCTATTTACTCGAATGTAAAAATAGAATTAGTTTGGGAATTGACGAATCAAGTCATCAGAAAATCATCTTGCTGACCCCCCCCCCTATGAACGTCATAAGTAAACAGCCCCCAAAATATCCGGCTAGGTTTTGAATGAATGTTGAAAGGATGAAATTCATTTCATCAGTTTAAGGAAATTCTGACATTCTACATTATAAATCATAATTTCGAAAAACATATCAAGCACTTTTCATCTCCTCCTACGCCCTTTAAAGTCTCATACTCCTACTACATAAAACCACATTAAATTTTTGATGTGTCACATGAATAAGCACTGACAAAAGTAGTTTCATTTGGTTTCATTGGTTTGTTTTTGCTAAAATCAAACTCAAACTTTTTTGACTCTAAATAAAGTTTAAAGTGGAACTTGAAATAAATTTTCAATGAGTGAAACCAAAAGCCTCTTCAGAAATTTGATGGTAAACTTTTCATTTCCACTTTACTTCTGAAAATGGTTTCAATATTTCATAAAATCATTGCTATGGGATGTCCGAGAACTCTCAATGATAAAAGTTTTAATGAAATTTATCATCAACTATCTGAATTATTTTCGAGAGGAAATTGAAAATCACTGTCGATTCATGTCACAATAATTTCATCTGTCGTTCATTGCCATGGCATTTGTTTTTATATTCCGAACCTAATCTCATAGATTATTCAATTCCAATTATCATTTTCTCCTTACTCTTGAATTTTTGTTATTAACTGATATAAATTAAGGAAGAATGAACATTTTTAGGAGTCCTTGTCACGTTTCTTAACAGATATGCGCCCTTTCAACCATTTTATTCACTCTTGACATTCGAAAAGATATACAATGTTGATTTTTCATGAATAATGAAGAAACTGTGTTTATAATTGTTTTGTTTGAGACTCTTTTTGACTTTTGTGTACGTTCTGCATGTGAAAAAGTTCTTGTATTCTCAAAATTAGGGTTTGTTCGCAAATGATGTATATCATGAGAAGGGGTCCCTAAGGCTAAAATGAACAGGAGAGACTATATCTAAGAATGTTCCTAGCTACTTCATTCCCCCTGATGCACCTCTATTCTTAGATGCCCTAGATGTCAGTTTAAGATACTCGGTATACTTAAGTCCAGGAGATATTATACACTAGGTTGGAATATAATGGGTTCACTAGAGTAGAAAGGATTGGATGAAAGGTAGAAAGTATACATTTGGTCAAAAGTTAAATTAAAATAATCTTTATATTGTGGACATTATTAATAAACAACCCCAAAGTAATGAAAGAAAAAGACCCAAATGAAGAATTAAGAACAAATCTCACCAGAGTTCATGACAAGGAAGATCTCATTCGGAATTTGACTAAACCAACACTTTGTGTTCCAAGAAATAAGGTTAAATAAACTTCCAGCAAAAAATCTAATTCCCCATTCCAAGGAACAAGAAACAAAAGAATGGTAAACAGAGGATAAAAAAAGGGAAAATGAAAATAATTAATACAAGCACAAATGAATGATACAAAAATAGAAATGTTTTCATGATTCGTTAGTATTTGATAATTGACTCATGGCACTACCATTCGTGATAATACCATTATTTATCCTATTATTAATTTCGGCCTTATAATTAACATTGAGCAATGGCATTCGGATTGATGGTAGAATGCTCGTATGAATACATTGATCCGCTAAATTTGTAGTTGTTGTTGTAACGTCACCATTCTCAATGAATGGTGTTGTCGTAACAAGCAAATTATGTTTTGTTGGTGATAAATTTTGACTGCCAAAACCAACAAGACTCGATGTCATTAATTTCTGTGATATTTGTGATGTCGGTGATAATGATGTTGATGAGTAATCTTTCAACCCTATCGGTAGACGCGTGTAGATGTTTGGCGGTGATTTCGAGCGTAAAATTGTAGTTGTGGTCATATTTGGATTGTTCGCACTAGTTGGCGATGATACAGCATTAAATTTACGTATCGTTGGATTGCTGTACATTGCAAAGCCTGGATTTGTGGTAAGTGATAGCTCGCCGTACTGCATATGTGTGTTTTTCATTGATAAATAAAAAGTTGGAAATGAGAAAATTTTCGTAATTAGACATCAAACAGTTTAAGCGTTTATGCACGGGAAATTAAGGCACATGTATATGCCGTGGAAAAAGAACAATTGGCTCTCTCTCTCAACGCACCATAAATCAATTAATATTTGATAGATTGCTTACCTGCTTCTCACTAAATCGTAATGTTGGTGAAATTGAATTTGGTGAATGTCTATTTACGTAACTCAATTTTGTTGGTGTGTATAAACGCTCGAATTCTTTCTCGTCGTCACTATTGTCATGAGGTATCAAGTCTGGATCGTTTTTCTCGTCTGCAAGCGATAATAGTAATGTGTGTTTTCCCACCGTTGAAATTGAGTGAATTATCCATTCCATAAGAGAATTGAAGCAAACGAGAAGAAAATAAGAAAGAGAAATGAAAATCATATTTCTGTAGTATGTATACAGGAGATGATTGGTCGAATGTTTCATTCTCAACGATAGAGTTGAGATTGTTTGAAATGCACTTTACTGCACAGCATTTATAATGCATCCTTTAAGGTATTTTATGCTACTTGAATCTTAAGAGGAAGTTCTCTAGTTGCATAATACTCAAAGGTACTTAGTCGTACCTATAACGGATTTTTAGATGCCTTGAACTTGTCCTCTTTTTATGGAACTATTACAGCTATGAATATTAAGAAGTAAAGACTAAAATGTCCATAGCCTGAGTCATTTCAAAGTAATTCATTTTTGCTTCAAAGATTTCTTTAATTGAAGCATAAAAACTTTAATAAGTATGCATTTCCTTCCTCTGAGGACAAGCAGTAGTAAAGAAGCTTAGAGAACCTTAAATACTAGCTACATTGTTGATACTCAATCAGGATATTCAAATGAGAATTTGCAAATGGCTTTTACTTAGCAAATAGTGAGTCAAGGATATGCATTAGAAACTACTTTATATGTAAGACGATTTCTTTAGCATATTTAAAATGTTTTCTAGTCAAAAGCTTTTTTTTTCTACAGAATACAGCATAAATATTCAATTTCTATTCAACATCGCTTCAATTAAACAGAATTTCCATTTCATTCGTACGTCCAATGATGTTCAATAATCTCCTCATTTTTCATTCATTTATTTTCCAAGAAGTCGAGAATGCGAGCTGTACTTACCGATACTAGAGTGACTACCAAGGTTACGGCTTAATGGCTCTGCGCTACCTTTATCCGGGCCATCATTTGGATCTGTTTCTTTAGGTGTCTTCTTTACGTTCTGTTTACAGCGAAAAAAACACAAAATAAATACTTTTTTGATGGTGATGTTCGAGCGATTTTTATACGTTTTTATGAGAAGCACAAGAAATATGAGGAATGGTTTGGTTTGAAGGCAACAAAAAGAATGGGGGAGGATTTAATAAAAAAGGCTCTACGAATTTAATGAAGGAAAAATCTGTTAAAAGCATTACAACATATATTCATAACACTTCTCAGCTGTAAAAATGAGTAAAAAGGGATTAAACAACTCTCTCACCTTATTTTTTATCTTTACAAAAATTACAATGCAGATGGCAATGAGAATTAATGTTACGACGACACCCACAAGCACACCGAGAACGGGTGTTATTTGCACAAGCACAGCTCGCGATGATGCTGCAAAAAAGGAAAAAAAAAGAAGAAAAAAAAATTAATAAAAATTTTAAAATTTTTTCTTCCTGTTGACAATTTTTTTCTGTCTTTTTGTTTGTCAAGGCAAATGGATATAAAATTGCGTTTTCCATTTACGACTTTAAAGATGTTTGCAATCGAGGAATGAGGAATAAAAAGCGAAGGATCCGCATAAAATTTTTTCTTTTTGAAAATAAGGTAGTAAAACCGGGTTTTTAAGGATTTTTGTTCTAATGTGTTCTTCAAATTTGATCCAGAAATGCGAGTAAAGCTTCTTCCTATGTAGAATGTTGGTTGAAAATGTGCGAATCCTTTTCAACAAAAATCAATTTCTGATGGGTATTGAACTTAGTTCCATGAAAAAAGACTTGGTTTTAAGCATATCAGAAGACAACACTGAGCTGCTCAAAAAATACAAATTACCTAGTTAATCAGCTCACACATCCCCACCCACGACAAATTAAATCCACAAAAACCTTTTTCTCACTAAAAATTTCACGAAAAAGAAGCGAAATGTGGTTTCAGATTTATATCCTATTTTGAGTTTCTATCTCTCTTGAAAATATGATAAATTTGTGCAGTGGTAAATGAAAAATATTCAGAAGAGAAACTTTTCATAACCGCACATACACACATTCACATTGAAAAATCAGGAAAATTATTTTTTTTTATCCAGTATGTAGCATACATTTATGTGTAAAGTTCAATTTATGTTGAAAAACCGCACTTACCTGTTCTCATAAGTGGTGCTGGCATTGTTTTTACTCGAAGTTGATAAAAGTCTTTACACATTCCTTGCAAATTGTATGGCGTAATCTGTTTCAATCAGTTTTTATGGAAAGTCAAGAAAAGAAATAAGAAAACAAGTACAAGGAGAGAAAAAAGAAATTATTATTTTTTTTGCTCGTAATTGAAAAGCTTCTCATAAAATGCTTCATTACCCGCACGATAAGCCTCGAGTCGCTTGGTAGGCGAACAAGTTGAAACATTGGCAGATCCGATGAGACGTTGAATATTTTTTCCTTGCCATCGAATACCTTTAGTAAGAATTTTTTATATATTGTATATTAAAATTTGTCGCAAAACTTCATTAGCATAGTCATCAATTACCTCAACGAAAAATGACTGCTTAATGCCACCATCGTTCCCCGGCATACATGCAAATTGCATGGTATAAGCAGTCGCATTGTATGCTGTACAATTTGCTATCGGGTCTGGTAAATCTGAATAAGAGAAAAACAACAAAAAAAATATTATATTAAGGAAGGGTTGTGTCATGAAGCTTTTTTGTCCGCGAATGTATTCCACCTTGTTCATTTTGAGCAAAAAGGGTCACAAACACGGAAGTGTTTTTATCATAATTAAATGTTTTTTGTACGATTGGACATGCAGTGATAATGACGAATATTTAAAATACACATAAACACTTTCCTTTCTTGCTTGATTTAGGGATTAAGACTGACATATCTAGATGGGGAGTTTATGATAAGGAAGGACATGGAAGTCGCATTTGTATTATTTTTTTAATGACATGGATTAAAAAGCTTTAATAAATTAAAGCTGCATATTAAGGCTAATTACGGTCACATAGCACCTTGATCCGAACATCTTGCCAATAATTGATTCAGATAATCAGCTGATCTAACAGTAAAATCTACCAAGTCTAGCTCCCACAGCATCGTCAAAGCACCATATCGATCATCACACACAACTGACTCAAAGGACGAGCAAACAAAAAAATATGTCAAAAATTGGAGACAAAAAAGGCAGAGAAAGAAAAGAAAATTTCAATTTCATCGTCGTAAAGAAGAAGTAGAATTTGATTGAGGAGCTTTTTGAAGGGTTGTCGAGTATATGAAAGAACACAAGCAAAAAAAAATCGATTCTATTATGTGCTTGACGAAAAGAAAGGCCAAATCCCATAGACATTCGAAATCTGTTGTCCATTCTATCGCACATAAAAAATATTTTACTCTCCATCCTATTTGAGGCTTTCTTCCCTTTCCCTTTGTGAAAGCCGCAATTTATTTCTCTCACAAGACTACTCGAGTTGTGTCCTTATATGTTCCCATGATATTTTGATAATTTTTTAACATGAAAAAATAAAAGAATTGAAGAGCAGTCAGTAGAAAAAGGGTTGCTGATGCAATTTTCTTGGAAAAAATTAATATTTTGTTGGACTTGTTAAAAATAATTTTTTTGAGGTTATTAAATTTCTTCTTTGATTGCGAGAAATAGCAAAAATATTTTTACGTCTTTGATTTTTTAAGGAACTAAATCGTCGTGCCGAACAAACATTTTTTTTATTGTTAGAAATGACACGTGTATGATAAGAGGCTCACATATTGTGAATAATAAATGAACAGAGCCTTTTTTGGATGCTGGATTTATGAAATTCATTTGGAATCTTCTGTTTGTTGGATTGTGAGTAACTGGATTGAATTAGAAGCTTTGAGTCACACAACTGAACTTTAGAAAATCGAGTCTATGTGCTCAAATCTAGTCAATTTATATTAAGTAAGTCACATATCCTTCAAAAATTCAATTCCTTCTCAATACTCAAATCCACATCTCAAAATTTCAAAATTACAATTGCTTCATCATCTCCAAGAACTTTAGCATTGACAGTTTACAAAGTAAATAATACCTAGCACTTGAATCTCAAATAATCTCTCAAAGAAGCATGCATAAGTAGATCAATCATTGAAGTGATTGATCAAACGTGTAATCCTTGCGAAACTCTTTCCAAAACGATAAATACGCATCATTTTCATGTAAATTCGAGACTTAGACATTGTTATGAGCTTCCCCTCGATTCTACTTCCTCAAAAAGAGACATTTTTTCTTGAAAATTTGAAGGATTATTGAGCTTAGGGTTACAAAGTTTAAAGCATCGTCGTAAGCTCTGAAGAAGAAGCTTTATAAATTTCTTTTTCATGCCTTTTTTTCTCTCTATAGAATATTGTTTTGAACTCAACTTCCTTTGATATTCTTTAGACGGAAACTATATTTAGGCATATTATTCAGCCTTAAAAATAAGAAAACGACACAGCAATTTTTCTCTCATTTAACAGGTGCCATAAAGCCTTAAAAATAACCCTTCATAAAAATCTTCTTTGCATAAAAATAGCAACGACGATAATGGTACTATAAAGACATTATCACACACTTTTCGATTCAGCAAGCAACAAATTTTTACCATAAATTCATAGCATTAACTTTAAGATTTATTGGGAAAAGATGAAGCACGGAGGGTACTTCATAATACTTTTGAAGCACGAGTCTTCGTTGTCCTAAATAAAAATGAATTTTTCGAGTATTACATGACGGAAGGAATGAGATTAGGAAGTTTTGCGATTACGAATCTACACTTTGATGAGGAAGTATAGCTTCCGTAGTTGAGGATTGACTTAATAAAGTGAAAATTCTGTTGATTCCTATGGAATTCAACTTAAAGAGTTCCCTTAGTGTCAATTTTAAGTGTTACGTCGTCATTGAACGACTCCTAATTCCATTACACTACGAATTTCTCGGAAACATTCCATAACAATGAAACTACTAAAAGAAAATTGTTAGAGAGAATTTAGAAAGGACACAAAAAACCTCTCAAAGAAGTGATCGATGTAAAGCTCATTCCGAAAGCCATAATGGCTTTCATGAACAGCATATATATTATTGTAAATTGCATTTGGGTGCTTCATGGTCCTTTAGTCATATCTTCTTCCATAAACCATTATTTACATGAGTGTACACATTTATGTATCATCATTATATGTGTATGGAAAATGCTAGCAGGAAGGAAAGAGAGAATGTGGGCTGTTTATTGTGCACATAACGTGCAAAATGTAAAAATCCTTATTATGAGATGGAGAAGAAATGTTTCCTGTTTGAAGGGATTTAATTAAAGAAGCAATAAGTAGCAGTAATAGCAGCTTGTCATCTCTCATTAATGTGATGTGTTTGTAGATTGTCATAGAAATGACCCAAAATTCCGAATGAATCTGTACAATGAGAAACTTTCTGTCATTTATTCTTATGACGCGATTTCATTTTAGTTTCTGGGTTGGGATTGAAGGATGTAAAGCTGTAACGTCAATAAATACACCCACATTTGAGCTACAGAATGTAAATGGTTTTTCTGAGAAAATTTTACAAGCAACATATTTGATTGTGTATAAACCACAAAGTGAGCTATGTAACAAGCCTTGAACGAAACTTTTTGATGCATAACTCAATTTTGGTAAGGAAGGAAATTTTTAAACTCTAAATTTGAGTCCAAAAGGCTTCGTTAATCTTCTTTGAATTTACAATGCACAAACCCATTATGGACTTATTTGCTTATCATCTCTGATTTTCGAGTATTAATGTACGAAGGATTCTAAAGCTGTGATTTATTATTGATTGACGTCATTTATGAGTATCCCTCAAAACTATTCCCATTACAATTTCTGCATGTAGCAATCAGAACAAAATGAAGAATTAAAGTTAGACACTCACCTGCTACCATGATGTGATAGAGACATGGACCACTAGTGCCATATGAGTTGTCAGCCGAACAACTGATTGTACCAAATGATGTAAAGTTTTCAACCTTATAATAGTAGATTCCTTGACTAATAACATGTTGTTGCATTTGATGATGGTGACTTGATGATGACGAATCAATGTTGTAAGGTTGACTAATTGAGTTTTGATAATTAATATTCTGCTGTCCCTGCTGTTGCGGATGATATTTCTTCGAATATGTATATGGACGTTGCGGATGAAGCTCAATGGAATTATAATTATTTTTGGTTTTGTATGATGATATTGTTTCGATATGTTGCGGTTGATGATGTTCATACTGTTGTAAGTTGTATTGTAGGTCTGGATCGTTGCTATACGATGGTAATTCAATTAAATTGTCGATTGTACTGTTGAATGACCACTTATATTTTAAATTTTTCTATTTTTCCAACATGAATAACATTTAAATGTGTTTCAACAGAGTGAATGAATGAATGTACATGGAATGGATAAATTTTTATTGGAAATGGAAAAAATGGGAGAGAGAGAAAGAAAATTTCAATCAATTTGCAATCTTCGTACCATTACAGATGGTTATTACTGTACATACCATTGGATTTGAATCAATATCACAGGTTATGTTTAATGTTTGTTTCAGTGCTGCCCTTATTACTTTGCCTTCGTACTGGCACATTGGGGGATCTATTGGATGAAACAGAAGAGCAAAATTTTAACATTATGACCAATCAATTAATGACACTTGATGATAAGATAATGTGTACCGAGTATCATATTTCTCCTCTTTATAAGTGCTAAAAAAGGCTATAAAACGCACTCGGGACATCTATCACCACATGGTCACCTTCATCATCATCATCATCAGAATGTGACAAATCATTTTTTTTCTAATTTTTTTCAACCGATACTTACATTTAATGTCTAAATATAAATCATTACTACTAACGGAGCCTTGCGCATTTGTGGCACGGCACATGTATTGACCGTGCGTCTGCTTAGAGATGCTTTGAAGAACGAGTGATTGATTTGTAATGATGACACCTCGTGTCGGCTGTAATGGCTTATTGTTATGATACCACTCGATTCTCTTTATCGGTGGATTAGCTTCAATACGGCACTCTAAATACACATCTGTGCCTTTTGCTAAATTTTTAGGATCTAGATTTGATCCTAATGATAATGAGACAATGGGGGCATCTGAATAGAGAGAGAAGAAAAAGGATTTTATTTTGAGGTTATTAGGTCAGATAAAATCAGAGTTGGAGCTCAGAGATCTTCAAAATCTAGAGGTCTACTCATGATAGCTATCAAATTGACAACACTGGATACAATTTTAATGGAACTTACGTTTAATGTCTAAAATTCGTGTATCTTTTATCGATAATGTAGGTGCATTATTTTTCTCTTCAACAGGTACAGAACATGCAATGACTTTCCCATTATCCTCTGGTGTTGGTAGATAAACGATATCTGATGTCGTTAAATTACCATTAGCCGATGTCTATTTGTGTTAGAAATGACATATAAAAATTATTAGACAAAAAACTTTTATGAGAAAATCAATTTATTTTACAGTTTGAGAAGCACCATGCATGGCTTGTGTTCCTTTCGTCCACATAATCTGTGGAATTGGTCGAGAACCAGCTGTTGAACACGATAAATGGACCTTCACTCCCGACGTAAGAGAATGACTTAATCCGTGAATGTATATATATAATGGCGGTACTGTAAAGACATAAAATATAGCATAAAATGAATAAATCATGGCAGTGAATAAAATTAGATGAAGATGATAAGAAAATTGAAAGATAAATTTGTTTAGCTTCTGCTTTTGATATTTCTATATTGAAAGACTTTATAAGCAAAAAAAAATCAACTTTTTTTCCCATCCATTCATCAGTGTATTAGACTTTGATGGGTTTTGCATCAGAGGAAGGGAAATGAAAGTCTCTTTTATGTTATCAAGACAAGCTTATCGAGATAAAGTTGAAGTAATTATCTCGTCTGTTGTCATTATCATTCAAGTAAAGTAAATTTAGTTCGGCACTTTATCAAACTTGATTTTCATTCCATAGAAATCGGAATTGAGAAGGAAACGAAATTAATTAAAAAAATATCTTTATAAAGGCATTAGATACGGTTGAATAAAACGCATATTTAAGAAGATTGTTAACCATTTAATCATTTAAAAACAATGGTTCCGACATGTCAGATTAAGAGAGTTTGAAATTGATATTTTTGTGTTAAGATAATTTAATTTTGATGATTATTTAAATCATTTGAGCTAGGGCGATACAATTATTCTATGTTTTGAAATTTAGACGTCTTGGTGGAGTCTAGACTAAGTCTTAGATGAAGAACATGACTTTTAAGACAGTTTTAAAAATATTTGCTTTATAATTAATTCTAGTCTAAGTCAAAGAATCGACAACTACGTAGAGTTATTTTAAAAACTACAATTCAGATGATTCAGCTCAACTACTAGCTATGAATGCTTTTCAACCCAAAATGAGCCTAATAAAAGCTAAGATAAAATATCTCGAATTTTCAGAAATTCCAAAAGAATCTGTAATTAAAACATCGAATTACATGCTTCAAAGTAAAAGGCAATAACACCAACATCAGCCACACCATGTTATCAGTATCAAATTCATTAAATTTTGTTAGAAAACTAATTTAAGATTACAACTGAGTGAACACGAACGAACAGAAAAAAAAATATAATTAAAAAAATGAAGCGCCTGAAAGAGAGTCAAAGATCAAGAGATCGAGTCGAAAACTAATCTATTAAAGTCTCATCACTATGGCATAAAAAATACTGAGAAGAAAATGAAAAACAAATAAAGATAGATAATTAAGTCTCGAGACATTTTTGTGTATTATGAACAAAGATGGAATTTCTCAGTTTTTTTGCCTCTGCATAGGTTTGAATTTCCTCTTTTCATTCTAGCAAATATTTTAACAGTTTAAATGCATTCTACTTCTTTTTTTCTGTTCCGTATGATTTCAACAATAAATTCTCTTTTATTTTATCTTTCTTCTTTTTTTTTGTTCTAGTTCATTTTATTCGACAACATAATTTTTCCTCATTTCAACCAACAAATATAATGGATGAAATAAAAAATGTGAAATACATAAAATATTGCAGGCACTGAAAATAATATAAAATTCTCTTTGATACAGTTTCTTAGCGACTGAATTTTCAAAAGATATGAAAATCAAAAGTTTCAGATTGTCTGTGTTTTGGAGCAGAAATTTAAATTGAATTGTTTAATTATTTTTTGGCGGCAAAATATCCGAGCTGTAAGGTAACTTTTAAAAGTTTTTTGATGGTTTTAATGCCCTTGGTGTTGTAATTGATACTCAAACATCTCCAGATTCAAACCTTACATTCCTAGAAATTCCTCAAGTTTTAAAAACTTTTTAAACATCGCTGACTTTATTAAAAATCAAAGCTATTTGTATTCCTCGGAATTACTTTTCACGAGTTTTCAATTTGATTTCGTAGCATAGGAACTTACAATTCCATCTTCATCCACGAGTGATGATGATTCTCAAGCAAATCAAAAAGCTGCTGTTGCTGACAAACGTGTCGTTCTAAAATTATCTGCGAATTTCATCCTACTAGAAAATGACACGAGTTATTGCCTAGTTGCCTAGGTAGCATAAATGTTGGTTGTTGAACTTTTTACATTTGTTTAGGCGTTGCTTAATGAGCAACCATATGTAGATCTCGTCATAACTGCTATATGTTTTTACTTATGTAAAACAAGTCGGGTTCGATGGGAATCAAACCCACGAACTCAAAAGAGGCGATCTCTGATCACTCGACTTAACTGAGGTAAATGAAAGGATTATTAATTAATTTCGTCCTAGCTTTAAAGCCTTAAGTAAGTTAAAAATTTCAAAATTTGATAAAAATTTAAACGCACACAATGCGAATCCATAATTCTTCATGAGTGAACAATAAATTCCCATTTAAAAATACCATCAATCATCAGTATGATTCAATTAGTATTCAAAAATAAATTTTCTGTGTGACGTGAAACCTCATAAATATGCATGTAGAAGCAGCTACTGTTTATATTCATATTAATGAAGACCATTGTTAAGCATAAATTTTCATAAAATGCGCCCACACCTTAGTCACACAACAAATGTTAACATTTCCAACTCTCTCTCTCTGTCTATTGTCGGATGCTGTTTCTGTGCCTCATTCTTCCTCATTATTTTATTTTGGATCAAAATTAGTTTTTTAAAACACAACAACAATCTAAGGTCACATAAAAAGTATAATTAAATATTATTGTCAAGCCCTCGGTATTTATTTTATTTTACTTTGTTGTGTTATATTATTGTCACTTCCATGCACCCCAACAAGAATGAAAAGCAGTGACAATAAAAATAGAATTTCATTTGAAATCAAAATACGGAAGATTCTGTGTCTATATATTTTCCTATTCTATGTTTATCTCTTGTGTTTTCTTTTGTGGTACAAAAATTATACATAAAAACTGAAAATTATACAAAAGTGGGCATGTTATTGCGACAGCATACATTAGATAGGGCAACTTTTTAGTCTAAATAAAATTAAATGTTTTTTTGTGTCCGATTTTTGTCTCTATTGTTGCTCAGCGTTATATGGATGCGTCATTCTATGGTTTTTCGGGTATTAACGATATTAAAAAAGTTCTGTTTCGATGTGTTGTGTGATAATGGAGGGACGAGTATAGAACGAGGAATTTATTAGTAACATAATTTATAATTAATTTGCCTTCATGTTTTTTGGAGAATTTTCATTCAACTTTTCAGGGTTGGAATCAAAAGAAATCTTTCAAATACTCTTTCTTTGTGATTACAATCACACATGGAGATTTTAGCATTAGATTTTAACTTCATTTAATGCTTGACAGTTCTAAAATTGATAGTTTTGTAGGAATTAAGAGTGAGCAAGCCCTTTAAAATCTTATTCCAACATTATTGCAGTCTTCTGGGGCCAAAAATGTATTTTTTTCAAATTCAAAAATTTATAAACAAAACCTAGTTGAGCGGGAAAAATCAAATATTTTAAAATAAAGGGGTTTTTTTTTTTAAACTTTAAATAGACATTTTTCTATATTTTTGCCTAATTAGCAATTATTTCCCAACTCTGAGTCTCACTTTTTCCATATTCATAGGGACACAAAAACTTTCTCTGTCATAGCTTCAACAAATATTCCTTTTTAATACAGCAGCGCATCGAAGTATTCCTTTTCATAAAAGGAACAAATTACTTTTCCCTGTGCGACACATAAATTCCTTAAATTTCTGCTCCTTCAGAGGATATTTTTATTGGTTTAATATGAACACAACAACAAGCTAGGAACTTCTATGTGCCAAAAAAGTTTTCATCTAAATTAAAAGAGAATTAAGTGGTACAAATATGAGATTAAATATTGAATTTATTGCAATATTTTTGTTTTTTTCATGTTTATTAAAATGTTCCAGAAGAGACACTTATGCTGTATATAGAACAATACAAATGATACAAATGACTCAGCTAATTAAAATAAAATGAAGTTTCAAAAAATGTGGGCAAAAAAGTTTTCTGAAAATTTAATTAAAATAAAATTAATTGGTTATGGCTCAAAGAAATACTTTGCGAAGAGTTTTGAGTAGTTTGTGAATTTTTCAGATGCTTGTGACTTTGATTATATAAAAAAAAAGTTGATGAAAAGTTTTTCATGTTGGCTGAGAGCAGTCTGAATATTTAATTTGAATGGCAAGAGAAAGCTATTGAATTTGAAGATTATTTTAATGACACAAGACTTGATTAGGAAGTTCTTTTTGAACTTTTTCGTCAGCTAATGGATAGTATTGTAGTTATTAACAATTTATATATGATTCAATCTTGTAGATTCTAGCAACTTACACTTCAAGTTATAGAAACTAAGAAGTTGAAGTTGAGGGTTTTGCGACAAAAAGTGAAAGATGGAGGCTCATCAGGAACACAAATTCAGATTTTATGTTAAAATGCGAAACACTAATGAATGCCTTCTTACTAATTCAAAGTTAAAGTAACCAAAAAGTCAATATCTCATGAATATTAAAGCTAATACTTTAATATGATTATTTTCCTACTAATGATAAAGAACTTCAAAGGTAATTAAGGTAATTGGCTGTTACACGTGGTTTAAAATCTTTCATCGAGCTCTTTACAAAAATCTCCTCTTAATCTACAATAAATTGACTGAACAAGTCATAAAAATCTCCATAAACAAAAGGAAAACTCTTTCAACTTTTTCCTCATTTAGTTTCTTTCTTTTTTCAGTATCAACAGAGAACTGCCCCACATTCAACTTGTGAGTTCTAGTTTATTCTTTGTTTACAGTATAATATATATCGGAAGTTGGTGCTTTTACGTCATTGCATGTGCAATATATACAGTATTTTTATTAAACACAAAAAAAACTCGCGCAAAAGTAAGGAAAATTTCTTGTATGATCATAACTTTTATTTCTATTTTTATGCCTTGCATTCATGAATACAATTCTAGGCTTGGAAATTCATTATCTTAATTAGATGACTTGGTAATATAGTTTTGTTGGATGAATAGATGACTAGTAATTGAATGAGAAAACAAAATGTAATATAATTGCCCCATTAATGTAAATTCTTGCATACTCAATAAGGAAATTCATTGCCATTTATTACTTGATACAATTTGCAACGGCAATAATGCTCGT